AGCCATTGAGTGGAATATATGCAAACAAATTTTGACTATTATAAAAACACAGTCTGTTTTGACTTCCGCAAGAGATAACTAAAGTGTTTTAATCACTTTCTGTAAATAACCTAGCGATGCACAAGTAAAAATAAAAATGAGATGTATAATATCGATAGAAACAAGACTGTCTAGACTACTAATGTACCCATGGATTATTTATATGCAGATTTTAATACTTCTCGTCACCTCACTCACTTACTGAATCATAAAATACACACATACACAAACACACACACACAAAACTACACTGATTCTCTTTTTATGAAGAAAGATCAGGACCCTTTTTGTCTATAGCTAGGGTTAAATTAAAAACAGTCGTCTTTTTTGATGAGGTTTCTGTTTCACCAGGCAAAAAATTGGGTACTGTAACCCAAAAAATTCGTTTTGTCACCCGTCTTGCTGAAAAACGTTCTTTTTTTTTTGATTTTGGTAATTTACCGCAAAGTTATCTCGTATTTGTTCTTGAACTGTTATAAACAGTGTTTTGGAAGAAGTCAAATTGGTGGATATAGACGAAAGGATGAAGGCCAACAGAAGAAAACGAGGGAGAAGAGAAGAGGGAAAAGAGATGAGAATTCACGAGATGGTGATCAGTATTGGACGCAGAAATATGCGTCTCGGTCCATAAATTACACATTCCACACGGTTTATAATATTATTGTGGGCGTAAGAATGAGACAAGGTACTCCAGTAATTGTTTTGTTTTCAGCTTCATGGGAATAAAGTTCTGATAATATGGCCTATACAGATATACATGTATACAGATTCGGTGTATGATCCTGCTCAACCTTGTCAATCCCGCTTTTTCATGCTTACTCTTGAAATATTCAATTATGCGTTTCGCACCCTCATGAAGGACTGCTTTACTAGCCACAGTATGAAATCCCCACCCCAAACTTTCAGCTTTCAGTCTCATCTAATGTGACGCACTCTGAGAATCCAACTGTAACGGATGTATTCCGGAATACAGGACAGTATGGGTTAACTTCATCCGAAATTCACTCGACATTGTCATGCGTGGTTTTACTAACACGACCCGTACATTTACCTCCAATGAATATGGAATCGATCACTGACTGATGATATGGGTCTACAATTACTTCACGTGACGAGAAAAAAGGAAACAGATTAAAAATTAAAATTTTATTTCTTCACTCCCAGTGGTTTAGAATTCATTCTTTCCCGTCCGAAACATCGGTTCTTCTCTGCCACGCGGTTTTTTTTTCTTCCCCTTTTTTTAAAGAGGATCATACCTTTATTCTCCTCTTCAAAAACAACAATCGCAACACCAAGTACAACCTACTTTCTTTTTCAAAACAACAATTCAAGATCGGCCCACATTCCAAAACAACAACCCACCAAACCTTTCCATCCAAATTTTTCTTCCCAAACTACAACCCAACAAAACGCTCAATCCACCTTGTTCCGTTCAAACAACAACGCTAGCCCATCCATTCCCTCCTACCCTCCACCCATCCTCCCACCCACCTAGGTCAGAGTGACCTAGCTCTACTTGGGCGGGAAGTGGACAAAGGAAGCACAGAAGTTCTGACCTTTTGACCCTCACGAAAAACAGTCTCGAAAACAGCTTTCGCGACATCACGACGGTCTACAATATTAGTCGCTATTTCTGAGTGAGTACACGCATCTTTTTTGAGGGGAGTTCCTGTAGGCTACTCTTTTACTGAGTTTGTATTAGTTGATGGCAGAGTGACATTCTTCTGTGACGATCATTTTTGTTCAGACGTGTTGCTTAGTAGATCCACCTCCCAGCAGTCCTCCGATTGACGAATGCAGAATTCGAAATGTAGTCACGTAAATTCATCTTGGCTGACGAGAAAATCTGCTTCGATTCCTGATGCGCCTGGAGTAATTCCATTTCTGTTTTCAAAAGCAACAGAGCATTGTCTGCGTAAATATCAGCCGCTATTTATGAACTCCAGCGAGTACTGCACTGCAAAAGATGACATCGAGTGATATGCCGCTAATTGGTAAGACGTGCCTATAGCAGGAGGCCAAGGGAGTCTGTGTTGTGTGAAGTGTAAAGCGTGTGACGAAGTGTGTGTGTGTAGTCGAGGG